CCGAACGCAGCAGGGAATAATTCATCTGCTCGTTTAATTTTCTGGTATAACGGATTATCGGGGCTGAGTCTCTCACCCAATGACTACAATATCACAATAACGTGGAATTGTATTTTTATTGTTCATAATTTGATATTCATTGTATGCGATCTCTTTCACATGTAAACTAATGAGAAATGGTTGGTTCGGGGCAAGTCAGATTTCTGGATATCTATCCAGTAAATGCTTCACCAAAAATATTCGTATTGAAAATTAAATTGTTTAACTTTTTGCATGCTAAGTGTTAAGTTTACTTTGTGAACATTAAAGTTACAGAGCTTCTAAAGTCAGTTTTGAAAATCATTTTTCGCCTCCTTTTTATTTCAATGGGAGAGGTTTCATGAAAAATAATTCTGACTTTGAAGACCAGCTATAACTTTTTTGAACGTGAAGAAACATATCATTTTCATTAATTTTTTTTATTTTTTTATTTGCCAACACTTTAATAACAGTGGCACATGGATTATTATCCAGTGCGGCTACATACAACTATACAATCTGAATAGAATACAAAGTCATGTATAATTTCTTTAAAACAATGTTGCATATACTAAAATAATCAAAGACATACACTCCCCTCCATAAGTTTGGCAACCTTTTTTCCCCCATTGAACTACGTGTTAAAGTCTCTTTACCTTTGCATTTTTATTTACTTAACCTGCGATGAAAATACTTATAATGTTGATGGAAACGTAATTTGACACTAATTCCAATACCTCCAAATTTTCTCAATTTTTTTTCCTCAATTACAAAAAGTAGAAAATTGATGATAAATTTGATGAATTTTTGAAAATCGAGATTCCCATGTTAACTAATGGGAAATGGTAGGTTTGCAGCAAGTCATATGACAGAATATCCATCCATCCGAGTCCTTGCAAAAAATACGAGTTAGGCAGGCAATTGAATTTGCTAACTTTATTTAACAAAAAATTGATATGTTTCTTCACGTTCAACAAAGTTATAGGGCTTTACAGTCAAAATTGTTTTTCGAAAAACCTCTCCCATTGAAATAACACAGGAGGCGGAAAATTATTTTCAAAAATGACTTTGAAGCGCTGTAACTTTAATACTCTTCAAATAAACTAAACACTTAGTGTTCAAAAAAGTTAGACAATTCAATTTTCTATATAAAAATATTTTTTGCTGAATCTTTTACTGAAAAGATATCCTGATTTCTGATTTGCCCCGAACCCTCCACTTCCCATTGGATTACATGGGAATGACGATTTTCAAAAATTCATCAAAGGACGATTCTCGGTTTGGAGAACAATCTCCTAGGCTAATAATTTTTTCATGAAAAATATAGAAATATTACCCAAATTAAACTATGAATATTCGACAGAGGACATTTAAATCTACAAGATGTAAAAATAACAAATTGGTCTGAAGCAGAGATAACGCTCAATTTGACCGATTCAATAAAATACAAGTCTCGATTTGGGGAAAGAAGTTCATCAGTGTACTGCGCTCATATTTTTTTGCGAAAAATCTAGAAATATTACCCAAATTTAATTATGACTATTCAAAAGAAGACATTCAAATCTATATTATGTAAAAAAAATCAAATTTATCCGAAGCAGGGATAATGCTCATTTAGATTGATGAACTTCGTTCTCCAAACCGAGAATCGTCCTTTATCATCAATTTTCGACCTATTGTAATTGAGGAAAAAAATTGAGAAAATTTGGAGGTACTGGAAATAAAGACAAGTTACATTTACATTAATATTAAAAGTTATTTCATCGCCGGTTAAGTAAATAAAAATGCAAAGGTAAAGAGGCTTTAACACGTAGTTCAATGGGGGAAAAAGGTTGCCAAACTAATGGAGGGGAGTGTAGATGTAAGTATTTTTATCGCAGGTTAAGTAAATAAAAATTCAAACGTAAAGAGGCTTTAACACGTAGTTCAATGGGGAAAAAATGTTGCCAAACTAATGGAGGAGAGTGTAAATCTCTGGGCTTGTACAATTGGGTTAAAAAGCGTTTTACAATGCTATCAAATAATCTAGAATGGTCTTGCCCCCATTTTGAAAAAGTCTCATCACCAAGCATAAAGGTCAATTTTTCAGTCAGATTACCCTTAATGAAATCAGAAAATAATAGGTATCAATTCAATTTTTTACCTAACTTGTATTTTTTGCGAGAACTTGGAGATATGGATATTCTGTCATATGACTTGCGACAAACTTATCACTTCCCATTGGTTTAACATGGGAATGTCGATTTTCAAAACTTCATCAGAATTGTCATCAATATCCGACCTATTGTTATTGTTGAAAAAAATTAGAAAATGTCGGAGGTACTAGAAATTATGTCAATTTATATTTCAAGCCCTAAAAGTATAGTCTTTTCTTTACAGACTATGCGAATAAAACTCAAACATAAAAATACTTTTTAGTACTTAATCCAATGGGGAGTTAGGGTTGCCTTTATGGAAGGGAGTGTATATCCCCAAGTATTGAACATAAACATTTTTATTATAATGTTAATATTCTTAACTCACAATTACTATGACGATGCCGATCACCATAGCGTAGATAGGATCATAAGGGTCGAACGCTTCTGTCTTGTTGAATTTGTCAAGGCATTCAAGGATCTCTTCCATGCTGATTCGCTCAATATGGGCCACGCCATCTCCGTACTGTTTTAGTCCTTTCTGGGCAAGTTTACGCATCGCCTTCCATTCTTTATCAGGTTGCCTATCATTATAAATAATCTTGGCTGGAAGATTTTCTTAATAGCATTATTATATACGAGTACACAGTCCTAACATTTAACGAACACATATATTACCTATATCCCATATTTTGAAAGCCGTTGGAGTACATTCCTTGTCTATGTCCCTGCATTCGGCCGCCATAATCATCACCGTCGGTAACTAGGACATCGTAAATGGCGTCTCCGTTTACAACTACAACCTCTTCGGTAACTAGATTTAATTTGTATACATCTCCTAGGTCCTTTTGCCAATCGCACAGCTTTTGGTAAACTCGCTCGTCGGCAATTTGAACGATGTTTCCGAGAATAGGGAACCCACCGGGTGGAGGTCCAGGTACTGTGCATTTCGGACGTCTTGATCTACCCCAGGCGTATTTGAGCAACAACAAGGACACAAGTAACACAGCAATTTCGAATAACATTGTTCCCGATGCGATGACTAGGTAACTAAATGACATTGAATGACATTTATCTATTACAAGTGTGTATGTAAAACAAACACCTCATACACAGTTGCTCGTATATTCGGAGTGCTCTCATATGGGTCATGTTAAACTTATTATATTATCCACAAAGATATTTTCTTGAAACTGAATTGCAACATGCTAAGATGAACAGTTTCATCTTTTTCTGCGGGATACGATGCCATTCCTGCAGTGAACAGCAAATTAAATCAACCAAGGCTAGAGATAAAGACACTCTCCCTGAAAAATGGTGCAAATCAAATCATCCCACGTGTTCTTAATTCAACTCAAGTCGGTCAAGAAAACTGATCATTCAACACCCTGTTCATATTTTACCCCGAGTCGACTTCTGTGTGTATGGGCTTTACTTGCTTGAACTTAATTAATGTCTCAAACTCGATAATTGCAGATTTAGGCGCCAGGGAAAATGTAACCTCCTACATATACACTCCTACACGGTCATTGAAGGTGACATCCTAAATACAAAATTAAATTTGATCTTCTGAAAACTTATAGATGATTTGGGAAAAATTGAAGTCAGTCTAAACAGCAATGTTAAGTTATCGGAAATGTTAAGAGTTTTTTACAGACGCCAATCGTCGCCCGCCATCCGCCGATCGCCAACCACCAACCGCAGCCACAAAAAAAAAGACGGAGACCATATGTCACCACTTCTTGGTGGTGATATAATAATGAACAAATTGCAAGTTCCCTAATGAACCATCATTTACATTTACAAGACTCCAACATACATGTACTGGGTCTCAATGTATGCAGACTTTTGAAAAGAGTGTAGCCTTCACACAGGCACCAGTTGATCAAGTCACTCAATATATTACTGTTTGTCACTATATCTCACCTGTCTAATCCCAATTCAAATCCCGATTTTTAATTACTCATCCTGATCTTTTTTCAAAACCCCGATTTTTTGTTCCCGATTTTAAGAAAATTGTCCTGATTTTTTCCTAAAATACCCCGAATAAAATATCCCATATTGTATCCCGAATTTTATTTTTACTTGACAGGTATGCTATATGATTATATGGTTTGATTGTCATTTTTCTTTCCTTGGCTATTAATGCTATTAGTTCATTTGTCACTCCTATGCATCCTATAGTGAACCTATGAATTGTCTTTTGGTTAATTTATGACGATATGGGTTTCCTGAAGAGATTTAGCTGGGTTGGACAAAAAGTTAGTTTGGGGAAAAAATAATAGACTGAGGCTAATTAGCGAGGCCATAATTGAAATATTGATTGTTTTCTATATCTTGAAATGTAAATATGAACGCAGCATAATTAGTTTGTCAAAACTTGTGTTTTCAGGGTTAATGAATAAGATATTGTTAAAATATACAAGAATAACTTATGAATTAGAGTGCATAATTGCAACCCTCCAACCTTAGCTCCCCCATTGAACTACGTTTGAATTTTTATTTACTTACCCGGCGATGAAATAACTTATAATATTGATGGAAACGTAACTTGACTTTATTTCCAATACCTTCAATTTTTCTCAATTTTTTCCCTCAATTACTTATAGGTTGAAAAGTCAGATATATGGTAATGTTAAAAGATACAATGATAACTTTTTAGATATTGTGCATATATGCAAAATAGCATATTTATTATTGTTATTTCGCATTTATTCAAAGTATTTAGTTTATCAAGCTTGCAGTACAAAGGAATGACTAATTGGTGGTTTCCTTAAATTCTTAGTAATTTAATTGGGTTGCCAATTATTGGATTTCTAACATATCTTAGAAAGGAAAAATGATAACCTGGAGACCCATGTGTTCAGCGTCAATGAATAAGATAATGTTAAAATATACAAAAATAACTTATCAGATAGTGTACATTAGAAATAATAACATGAAACAGATTATTGTTTAAAAGAATATAATTATTTCTAACCGGGATTACGATCAGTTTATCTTTGAGTTGAGTCGTGAAAGTCTTATATTATTATTTATTTAGAAAATATCCAGGTCACACACTATAATAACAGGTAAATCAAAGAAACTAATCCGTCAATTAGAAGCTTTAAAAATGGCTAATTTAGCAATAAATGAATCGGATCGAATTGAAAGCGTATATTCAAACTCAGTTGAAAGACCACTGTAGAGAACTTCATATAGTTATACTAGGTTAAATCAATGTATATTATATCTTTTAATGTTCAAAAGCAAAATCATATCGTAATCCAGCGGTAGCATATATGTAAGGAAATCCTCTGCAGTTAAGTTAGTACATTGAAACGTGATCTCTCGACAGTTTTTATCTTGTAAGCATGCATCCTCATGGTCACACCATTTATTGACAAACGAGGGTCGTAGTTTGGAGGGCATCCGTCAGTTTCAGGGTACAGCGTGTAGCGCTGGAGCAAGGTGGTCATGAACAGGAACATTCGGATCTTAGCCAACTGTTCTCCGACACACACCCTCTTACCACCTCCGAATGGCAACAAACTACAATAAACCACAAATTTACTCTACATCAATAGTGTATTAGAGGTAACCCAAATCCCCAAAAATCCACATAATTTCTGCTCATAAATTGAACAAAATACGTATAGCTCACGTACTGTTTTCTCTCATGTACCGGAATTAAATCACCTTCAGAGTCAAGGAATCGTTCAGGTTTAAACGTGTAAGGATCCGGGAAGAATCGCTCATCGTGATGTAGTCCGTACAGATTCGGCCAAATCTAAATATAGAAATCACTTTTTGATGTTAAACCCAGTATATTTCGTTTTAAAGTGTGCGCCAAAGTTTAAAACTGCGCAGGCGCACCGCTCTCGCTAAACTATATAAAGAGATTACCAGGTACACGATTCAGAGGTAAGCCAGGAAGGCGAACGATCTTCGTCTCGTGATGATTTCCCATATAATCGTAACCAGGGAAGTTTCACTATTGAAATTGAAAATTACTATTAGATATACTTTGTAGATGTTATTTATGAAGCTATTTAGTGTTTGCATCAATCAAATGGCTCATTTTGAACATATAAAAAGTATTTGTGTTTTGTTTCCCAGGGAATTGTATTGTATGTAGTACACACATAAATAGTGTACATTATACAGTACTTGAATAGCCTGGTTTACATAATATTGAAGGGCATGCTGATTACATGCACACGAGTAAATGAATGAAGGTCTAATATTGATATACGTAGCTTGCATACCTAAATAAAAAATAAACTCTTCTAATCCCCTAATGTAAACACGGCGGTATACGTAGCCCGATTTATCGGGGACTTTAACACAGTTATGCAAATACTGAAAAATGTTGTAAATGATACATGTTTGTTGAATTGATTGTTGACCTGGTTGTTGATAAGTTTATCTTACCTAATGTTACATGTTTGTTGAGCTTATTGATGACCTAGTAATTGATAAGTTTGTCTTACTTGTGTGTCCTTAGGTATGAAGTATCCTCTTAACGTGACATCCTTCAATGTTTTATGTGGCACAGATATTGGAACCTCTGACATGTAACGCAATCCTTCTAATATGAACGCCTCCATATATGGCATTACGCGTCTGTCCTCATATGTCGGTAAGCTAAAGTTTTTTATGACATATACAGTAAATGGTAACACAAAGGCAATGGTGCAGTCAGTTAGCAGTATAATTGCACTTGCTATATAAGGCACCCTTTTTGACCAAAGTATCATTAATACATATATTTTTGATATCTATAGAAGTGATGTTAAAAAGTGGTCCCAGTGGATGATAACCGGCCTCGAAAATTTTAAACGTTTCCATTGAGTCCCATGTTAATCTATTAATCTTCAAAATACCCCCTGCAGAACAGTTCAAGAGCAATAAAGTCAAACTTCATAGTATGTTAACATAGCTTGAATGTTTTCAAACATAAAAGGGTTACAAGCTGGATTTTGTCTAGTTCAGAAGATATTGACGTTTGATTTTTGGGAAATCCCCATTGACCGCCATTAAAAACTACTATCAATATGGCTTTACTAAAGTTTCATTTTCTCCAAAAGTCCACTATGGAATTTTCTGATATTGCAGATTTCTATAGCTAATATATTGACTTTTAAAACACCAAACAAACACATTTCTAAAATGTTCTTATTTTTAGTATGTTTAGCAATTTAGTTGACAAAAAAACTATGTTGCCATGCCATTATGTTGCTGACGAAAACTCCTTTGAGTCCCATGTTAATTTATCAATCTTCAAAATAAGATCCCATGTAGAACAGTTCAAGAGAAATAAAGCCAATCTTCCTGCTAAAACATAACTTAAATGTCTTCAAAATATGAAGGGTCACAATCTGGATTTTGTCTAGCCCCAAAGATATTGACGATTGAATTTTGGGAAATCCCCATTGACCGCTATTATAAACAACTATCAGTATGGCTTTATTAGATAAAGTGTCATTTTCTTAAAAAGTTCACTATGGAATTTTCTGATATTGCAGATTTCTATAGCCAATATATTGACTTTTAATAAAGCAAACAGGCACATTTCTAAAAAAATATTATTTTTAATATATTTAGCCCTCAAGTTGACCGAAAATCCCCATCAGTTACCATTATAAACTGCTATAAACATGGCTTTATGAATAAAGTGTACTTTTCTTCAAAAGTCCACCATGAAATGTTCTGATATTGCATATTTCTATAGTTGATAGCACTATGTTGTCTTTTAAATAGCCAAACAGGCACCTTTCTAAAAAATATCTTATTTTTTATATATTTAGCAATTAAACTGACAAAAAAAGTTGAAAATCCCCATTGGATGCCTGCCGTTATAAACCACTAATATATACATAAATTTATTCCTTTAGTAAACAATATAAGACATGCAATTGATTGCCAAAGTTTTATAAAAAAAACATTAGCGGCAATTTTAGACAATATGAATAGGAATACATTAAAATAAAAAATTTATCAAAGTAATGTTTTCACACATATAAGAAACTATAATCCCATGGGCCAGGGATGTGTTAACACATGCATGCAAAAATTAGCCAAACCGATCAATTTGGCTCAGACTTTGGTTAACAAAATGACTCATAAGTTCTATTAATTTTTCATTTAATGAATTATCTAAATCTTCATCACCATACAAAAGAAACTGAATTTTGTCAACTGTGTTCAAATTCTGAACCAAAAGATGAAGATCTGAAGTTCGCAGTCCTGCAAATAAAGTGTCACGCTCGTTTACAAGCAGAGGACATTTTAAGATAAAATGAGAAGGTGTTTGTGGTAATCCACATTTACAAAAAGGATCACTAACACTGGTGAAATTATGAGCATATAGCTGTGATTTTAAAAGGAGACCCACTCTGAGTTTGTTAAAAGCAGATTCAACATATCTAGGCATTTCGTTTACCATTTTGGTAGTGGGTAGCATGGAGACAGGGCTCTTGTAATCTCTTACTAATCTTTTGAAGCGATATATTGGTTGACCTCTTCTCGTGTCAAGGTGTAAATTGTCCCATATTCTTATTCCATTCAAAATAGTTGACCTCCGGAATGAGTTGCTAGCTTGTAGGAATTAAGTAATGTCTTGTATCTCTCAGTTGCCTAGCCTGAGTATTTTCATAGGTTTGAAGTAATTCACAAATGAAAGGTGGATAAGAATTGTACCTACATTTAAACATAAACATTTTATAATGCTCATCTCTTCTAGTTGATAGGGATTTCCAGTTTAAGGAACTTAGAACAGAAGCAGTGTTTGACCCATGTATAACACCAGAAACCAGACATGCTGCTCTGTAGTGCAATCTATCTAAACACTGACGTTTAAAATTTGAAGCTTTACCGTAAATTATATCACAGTAATCAAAATGTGGCATAATGAAAGCATTGTAAATTGTTTCCAAGTGTTTACTCTTAAGAAGTTTGCTAAGTTTCTTTAAAGGTCTCATTAGAGAAATTACTCTAGTGATAAGTTGATCAATATGGTCATTAAAGTTCAAATGTTGATCCAGAATTAGCCCCAAGTGCTTATGACTGTTGCATCTTGGTATCAGTTCATCTCCTAGATGTAAAGAGGGAGGTTCAATAAGTAAGTTTCTAGTTCCCGTGAAAATCAAATCGGCGCTTTTTTGTGCTTTAAAATTCATCTTCCAGGTATAAGCCCATAAAGCAAGATTATCTAAGTCATTTTGAATGGGTTGGTGTACATGTATGTTAATAAAATTCTCACTTTTTTCATAGGAGTTATAGACTGAAGTGTCATCTGCAAAAATAAAGGTTTTTGAGTGCAAATTATCAGGAAGATCATTCACATATAATAGAAAAAGCAGGGGTCCTAATACTGATCCTTGAGGAACTCCAGCATTTATGACAAAATTGTTATGCAAATTATTCGGGTTGTTTGTATTGTCGTTAGGATTTTCATTGGACCAATTCGAATAGCTATTATTCACTTTATTTTTTTCTCTTCTGTTGGATAAATATGAAGTCATCAGTTTAATAAAGTTTTCCTGACAACCGTAACCTTTAAGTTTAAGTAACAAAAGTTGGTGCGGAACTAGGTCAAAAGCTGACGTCAGGTCAAGGAAAACAGAGCGGACATTTTGACTATTGTCAATTTCAGCATGAATGTCATGGACAATGTTGATTAATTGGTTAACAGTACTATGTTTCGGTAAAAAGCCACTCTGAAGTTTATAAATCAAGTTATTTTCTAAAAGAAATGATAAAAAGTGTTTATGTATAATTGTTTCAATTGCTTTTGAGAGGCTGCTTAAGAGGGTTACAGGTCTATAATTTGTAATCAAACCTTTGTCACCCTTTTTATAAAGGGGGGTTATGAATCCTTCTTTCCATATATCAGGAAAAATATTTTCTTTAAAAATTTTATTAAAGAGCTCAGCAGTTGGGATTGCTAGAGATTTAGCACAGACTTTTAACATTTTGTTAGATATATTGTCAGGCCCATGTGCTTTAGAAATGTCAAAATCTTTTAAAATGTTAAATACTTCGTCAGGAGTAGTTTTGATTTCCTGAAGAATATGATGAGTTCTGGGTCTAAATATTGGAGTGTAATTCTCTGGAATAGTGACAATGTTCTTGCTTACAAAGTATTTCATTAAAACATTTGCTTTATCAGAGCTGGTGGCTGCTGATAAGTTGGAATTAGGATCAAATAAAACCGGAATTGATGTAACTTGATTTTTTCCAAGTAAGTCGCGAATCAAAGACCAGTAGTCAACAGAATTTTTGGAGGTGTTCTCAATTTTTTCCCGAATTTTAAATTCATATTCAGATTTTGCTTCCGAAATCAATTTGTTCACTATCTTACTTTGAATTTTAAATTGCGTATGATAGGTCAAAATGTTAGTAGATTTGTATTTATGGTGAAGTTTGTTTCTTTTATAAATCTCCTTTTTGATGTTATTGGAAAACCAAGGATGATCATCATACCTGGTTGAAATAGTCTTATGAGATACATTTGTTTTAATTATATCTAGAAAAGTTCAAACAAAGAGCTCTGTGGCATTATTAACATTGTTGGTCAAAATAAAATCCCAGTTTGTTTCTGAAATTTTTTGATTCAGTAAGTCAGAGTCTTCTGTTTTAAAATGCCATAAGGTTTTCTTAATTGAGGGTTCTCTTGGAATTTTTACCCTAACTTTGCTGACAATTGTACAGTGATCTGAGTTTCCAATTGGCGGGTCAACAGTAACAGATAAAAGATGATCAGAGTCAGTTATTAAAAGGTCAATGCATGATTTAGAAACATTTGTAATCCGTGTAGGTTCATTTACCAACTGTTGTAGTCCTAGGTCAAAGAGAATATTATTTAATTCCAAGCCAGCTAAATTATCAATATCGTTGTCATACCAAATTTTATTTCTGGCATTAAAGTCTCCATTTAATATTACACCATCTGTTGGTAGCAAAAGCACTTGAGAAATATTTAACTTTAAAGAATCGAAGTAAAGTCTAGTTGCATCTGCTGACATTGATGGTGAGCGGTAGAAAAAACCATACATAAAAAACTTTATGTTGAGCCTTAACCTCTACCCAACAATTTGCTAAATCGTGGGACATAAATGTATCACATACTTTAGCCTCAATACTATCATGTGACCATAACAAGAGACCTCTTCCCTCATTTGAAGCATACTTAGGTTTACCATATCCTCTTATGAAAAAATCTTTTGAGATCAAATCTTCATCAGTGACATTGCCTGATTCACAAAGTGCTATCAGATGAAAGTCACCATTTAATGCAAAATCTTTTAAAAATGCTAACCTTGTCAGAGAATCTGCCTTCGCACTATTTATATTTGTAAACAATATTTTCAAATCATCAACTGGGCCTGGGTTTGTTTCTATGTCCCCACATAGCAAAAGTAACAAACTACCAATATGGCCTGGATTGTGAAAAATTAATGACATACCAGGAATGCAAGTTAGGGTCATTAAAAATACAAAAATTTTCACAAATATCAGTGTGACATTGCGATGCAACTTTACTAGTTTTTTTATAATACTGAGTAGCAACCATGTTGACATGCAAATATATGTGATTTCGCATAAGAGTGCAATGGCAAATGCTAAAGACTTCAAAAGTATAGGAATGTTAGTGAAAGGTAAAACCACTAATGAAATGTCCTCTTCCCCAAACGTCCTCTATGCATTTTTCTGATATTGCAGATTTCTATAGTTAGTAGCTATAGTCCATGGTATGATTTCTAGGACGTCTGATTAAGGAGTTGGTGACATAATATATGCGCAGCGATATTCGACCTTATATTTAGATACCTACATATGACCCGCGTCTTGTTTTGTATAGCCGTTATAAATACGACGGGCTTTTAGGTCGAATTATGCCTGTCACTATCAAGGGTCGAAAAACGTATAAAAACTTTTTCGTAATTTTTTCACAATTTAAAGTACAAACATTAAAAGAAAATCATATGAAAATATTTCAATATAAACATCAAGTTCCTTGGCTATAGTTTTGCGGAATTTGTTCTTTAAAATACCTTATATATACAAAATCAATGTTTCAACATTTATGTCGTTTTTGGAGATATTGGCAAAGCAATCAATATATTGGCACCTTTATAAACTGTGAATAACATATATTTGTAACATGTTAGCTTTTCACTACATTTGTTGTTCATATACATTTTGAGATATAGACGACCGTATTCAGGGGTCAATTGCCAATAAAGGGAGACTCCATAAACGTAGCTCCGCACCCAATATTTAGAGGGGGCTCATATCTGAAGAACATTTCCGAATTTTTATAAAATCACACAGATACTGCCTGGCTTCCAAGATGCAAAAATAATTTGCATGGGTAGTGTATCTTGAACACCATTTTTTATGAATGCTGGGGACGCAGTATTAAAAGGATAGTCTCAAAATATATAGGTCTGGGAAATGTTTAAGGCATACTGCGTCGCTATTAAATGAATTGCACTACTATTTTCACAATTTTATTAATATTTGGTGTCAAATACATATATCTTGGTATATTTGAAGTCCCAAAACGGCTTAGTTTCAGAAATATCGCAATTTTAAATTCAAAAATGATCGTAAGCTCCGCACCCTCCGCTCATTTGCGCCGCACCCAATATTTCCCACAGGCTCTGTCTGCATAGGGTGTACACGTAGAAATAATAAAATCAGGAAAAAAATCAGTTATAAAGGAAACAAACCCACAATATCTCAAATGATGAACATGGCATAGATCACAAAAACATACTGATTTTGTTACAATTTATCAAAGAACAAAATTATATGCGGTTTTTCAAACCCATACATTTGGATACGGGAGATTGACAAAATACCAATATATACGTTTAATATAAACTAAAGGGATACCTTTGTCCCAAGACATTGTCTATTTCATCGTGCAATTTCTGTTGAATCTCTGGGTAGTCCACTGTTAGTGCAACCAATGATCTGAGCTGAGTAGAGGTGGTTACTGTCGCTGCGAGAGTAATGTCGTTTATCATGCCTTTGATAAGAGCATCATTCAGTTCTCCCCGATTTACATTGATGGCATCAATCACGCCGGATATTGTGGACTTTTCCACGTTGTTCTGTAAAAAGGGTATTAAAGGGATCGGTATGTTTTTATATCGTTGTCCCGACGGTTGCAAGTAAAAGAAATGCTCGGAATGTATTCAAATCAGATTTTTCCTGGAAACTGCTTACAAATCAGTATTTGAATTTAGACTGTAATTAAAGGTTCAAAAATACACGTAACATTATCCCTAAAATATTATTTATCCATATTTTGTTATTTATTCAAGAAGAAGAAAAGGAGGAACTAGTTCCGGAGGTCTGTGTTCGGAGGATGAGCGATGCATGATATATCAAATTCCAGCAAATCAGAACACACTATTTCAAATACTATGCTAATTCTAGATCCTAGTGATTTTGAATTCTATTTCCAGAATTCAAGGCTTTCATAATTTCAAGTTTGCTCGTGAGATAATTTTATGCGTGGTACTATTTTATCCAATTCATTGTGCACTGTATATACCATATGGTAATGATATGATATGATATATGCACTGTACAAACCTTTGATCGCTGGTATATTTCCGCCTCCATTTGTCTAACTGCATCCATTGCCTCCTTAAAAGTTTTACTAGCCTTAATTGGTAGATGGTTCAACCAAGGAATGACATCAATGTACGACGTATCAGCTCCGAACGCAGCAGGGAATAATTCATCTGCTCGTTTAATTTTCTGGTATAACTGATTATCAGGGCTGAGTCTCTCACCCAATGACTACAATATCACAATAGCGTGGCATTATATTTGCCCGAGGACATTAAAGGATCAATGGATATTTCCTGATACAGAACATAAATTAATTGTCATTCACATGTAAACTAATGGGAAATGGTCGGTTCGGGGCAAGTCAATTTCTGAATATCTATCAAGGAAATGCTTCACCAAAAATATTCTTATAGAAAATTGAATTGTCTAACTTTTTGCATGCTAAGTGTTAAGTTACTTTGTGAACATTCAAGTTACAGAGCTTCAAAGTCATTTTTTAAATCATTTTTCGCCTCCTTTGTTATTTCAATGGGAGAGGTTTTATGAAAAACAATTCTGACTTTGAAGACCAGCTATAACTTTGTTGAACGTCAAGAAACATATAATGTTCTGTTAAGCAAGTTTACAAATTCAATTTTTTTTACCTAACTTGTATTTTTTGCGAGAACTCGGAGATATGGATATTCTATCACAGGCCCGTGGCCAGAGGGGGAGCTGGGGCACCCCCCCCCCCCCCCCAGCCAGAAATTCTTTCAAAATCATGCAGTTTTTCACCATTCTGAGAATTTTTCACATTATTTTTAGCCAAAATTGTGAAAAAGCCCCCCCCCCCCCCTGGAAAGAAGCTCCCCTCCTGGTAAAAGCTGGCTACGGGCAAGTATCATATGACTTGCAACAAACCTAGTATCACTTCCCATTGGTTTAACATGGGAATGTCGATTTTCAAAACTTCATCAGAATTGTCATCAATATCCGACCTATTGCTATTGTTGAAAAATGATGTCAATTTATATTTCAAGCCCTAAAAGTAGTATTTTCTTTACAGACTATGCAAATAAAAATTCAAACACAAAAAGGCTTTTTAGTAACTTATCCAATGGGGGAGTTAGGGTTGCCAAATTTATGGAAGGGAGTGTATATCCCCTAGTATTAAACATTTTTATTATAATGTTGATATTCTTAACTCACAATTACTATGACGATGCCGATCACCATAGCGTAGATATGATCATAAGGGTCGAACGCTTCTGTCTTGTTAAATTTGTCAAGGCATTCAAGGATCTCTTCCATGCTGATTCGCTCAATATGGGCCACGCCTTCTCCATACTGTTTTAGTCCTTTCTGGGCAAGTTTACGCATCGCCCTCCATTCTTTATCAGGTTGCCTATCATTATAAATAATCTTGGCTGGAAGATTTTCTTAATAGCATTATTATAGTAGCGTTCTCACTTATAAATCGATAATTAAAACAGCAATGCATTGAATTTGAATGTTTACAAAATTACATGCATGGTGATTTTATTGTCACAGGCACAGCATTTTGACACTTAAACATTTGCGAGGCGTTTGACTGCGCCTGTTATATCCCTCGATCTAAGTCATTTATTTTGGTATTTTCCAATACCAAAATATTTCAATGACATATTCTTCTTATTTGTATTTGATTACGTTTTATATATCATACTAATAATCCGTTGCCTGGCCCTTGGAAACGGAAGAAAAAATATAAATGAATATAATGTTTATGAAGGTACAAAACTAATGTTACTAATTATACATTTTCTGAACATTTCGCATAATTTTGTCACATCTGCTCTATCTTATTTTTTTAAATAGTAAAACGTTAAAAAGTACCCCTGTGTGATGCACTAATTGAAAAATGACATTTACGTTAAAATAATAATACATTTTTATGTAATGACAATCCTTCACATTGTATATAAATTTTGATTTACAATTTGAGTCTCACAAATTGTACTAAAATGCAAATGAAAAGTTTTACTTTTTTTACCTCTTGTGATGACAGGCATAATTAGACCCGAAAGCCTTAAGTTTTTGCATACGGCATTTTAAAAGCATAAAGACATATGCCCCTCCTTAAATATCGGTTCAAATGTCGCTGTGCATATATTATGCCACGGATTCGTGACAGTACACAGTCCTAGCAGTTAACGAACAAATATATTACCTATATCCCATATTTTGAAAGCCGTTGGAGTACATTCCTTGTCTATGTCCCTGCATTCGGCCGCCATAATCATCACCGTTGGTAACTAGGACATCGTAAATGGCGTCTCCGTTTACAACTACAACCTCCTCGGTAACTAGATTTAATTTGTATACATCTCCTAGGTCTTTTTGCCAATCGCACAGCTTTTGGTAAACTCGCTCGTCGGCAATTTGAACGATGTTTCCGAGAACAGGGAGCCCACCGGGTGGAGGTCCAGGTACTGTGCATTTCGGACGTCTTGATCTACCCCAGGCGTATTTGAGCAACAACAGGGACACAAGTAACACAGCAATTTCGAATAACATTGTTCCCCATGCGATGACTACTAGGTAATTGAATGGGATTTATCTATTACAAGTGTGTATGTAAAACATACACCTCATACACGGTTACACGTATATCTTGAGTGCTCTCGTGGGTCCTACTATGCTATGCAAGAGGAGGGAAAACCCCAGAGTTTAAAGATGATAGACATAATTACGTCTCTTGCTTACCACCTTCGTTCGTTCGAATTTTCATCGGCTAGTTATCAAATACTACACTTCGATGGGATGTTTTAATTGATATATGCATATTCCGTACACCTTTCTTTATCTTGATGTGAAATGAGAAGCTATGATACCGGTTAACACGCCAGATATGAACATAATATCATTCGAAGCGTATTTCGAAAATTTTGAAACCGCCATTGATGACGTCATTTATTTGTCGACCTTTGACCAATCAGAGGTGTATGTCATCTCAATACAGGTTTACATTATAAGCGTATGTCATCTTTGAACTCTGGTGTTATTCCCCCTCTGATGCTATGCTATGCGTTTAAGTTAACCTTATTGGAGAGGTTAAGCAAATACGGTTTTTCAAAACGTATACTTAAACGCAAAGTACATTGAATCAACATAGGATTGTATCGCTTTAGTCTACTTCAGATACCCGTTCAACTTCAAAGTTGCGTGTTTAGAACGGGAGATTTTAAAATTTCACGTTGCTATCAACGGGAATCATTATACTCATGTCTGTTGAATACCATCCTTGCAATTTTGATTTCGATGCAGAGTATAATTCTTTCTGAAGAAGATGATGTATGTTACGCATGATTTAACTCCAATAATCTTACGAAACGAGCTCGTTTAAAATATGTATTAGAAAACCAGCTATTGAACTTCATCAATGGGATACTATGTAATCATTACAAGCTATGGTGTAGTCTAAACAAACACTAGAGCTGAACGGCTATTTATGTGTGAACTCTACATGTATTTGTATAGGGCCGATTGATACGTTTAAGTTGCGTTTTGGATTTTATACGGTAGCTTAACCTCTCCATTGTATTATCCACAAAGATATTTTTGAAACTGAATGGCAACATGCTAAGCTGGACAGTTTCATCTATTTGTGCGGAATACGATGCCATTCATGCAGTGACAAAAAGTTAGTTTGGGGAAAAAATAATATAGGCTAATTAGCGAGGCCATTATTGAAATATTGATTGTTTTCTATATCTTGACATGTAAAAATGAAAGCAGCATAATAAGTTTGTCTAAACTTGTGTTTTCAGGGTTAATGAATAAGATATTGTTAAAATATACAAGAATAACTTATTAGATAGAGTGCATAATTGCAACTTAGCACATTTCATGATTGAAATATCACATTTATTCAGATATTTTCTATATCAAGCTTGTAATACAATGAAAAGTACTGACTAATTAAGTAATTAAGGGTTTCTTAATTGATTTAATTGGGTTGCCAAAAAGAACTAATTTCGGGGGAAATTATATTTATGCAAATAAGGGCAGCCATCGTTGAAATATCTTACATAATTTAAAAAGTAATAATGATAGCATCACAACTGTTGTGCCATTACCCATGTTTTCAGGCTCAATGAATAAGATAATGCAAAAAGATAAGAATTATTTATTACATTTTAATGTACTACATTATATGCAAATTAGCCAAAATGTTTTCAGGGTCAGTCAGATGTACGGTAATGCTAAAAGATACAATGATAACTTTTTAGATATTGTGCATATATGCAAAATAGCATATTTATTATTGTTATTTCGCATTTATTCAAAGTATTTTGTTTATCAAACTTGCAGTACAAAGGAATGACTAATTGGGGGTTTCCTTAAATTCTTAGTAATTAAATTGGGTTGCCAATTACTGAATTAATTTCTAACATATCTTGGAAAGGAAAAATGATAACCCTGGAGACCCATGTGTTTAGCGTCAATGAATAAGATAATGTTAAAATATACATTAAAAATAACTTATCAGATAGTGTACATATTATACGGTATGCATGTTTAGCATATTTAGAAATATCAAACGTTTTGTATGATGAAATTAGATGTGTGTCATCGCCAATAGTTACAAATAAATCAATAAATCACTTGATTTATGTAGGAGTTTAATGTATAAAGAAATAATATAACATGAAACAGATCCCTGAATCACACCATGAGTAAATAATGAAGTATGGTTGAATGAGACACTGTGTTGGTGTTCTTAGCTATTATACCACGTTACCACTATTCCACAGTTGATTTCATCGTATTTAAGGATGCAGTACCGGGTCGGTTTTCACGTCTGTTTGCGCAGGTTTTACTTCCGGTTTGAGAAAGCTAGCTCCCAAGAACGTCATTTTCGCATTTAGTCTTATTCAAAAATTATAGTTTATTTCGATAATGGTGTTTCCAGAAAAGAATTAAATTGCAAACATTTTATCAAGCATATTTTATCCCTTTCACTTTTATGGGAAAACTTGTTCAGTCGCAATTAGTGGATACGAAAACCAGGGTTCGAAAGGTGCAAGCTCTATTGAAAACTCAAAAAAAGTAAAAAGATGGATATAGTTCTGAGTAAGGACATTAGCGGTTACCGCTAGTGATTTGGTTTTCTGAATAAAAAGTCATTTTCTCCTTCCCTACCCCATTGGAGCGCCATCTGGCGTTTGGGAAGTGAATCGGGACTAAATATTTATAGGGTAGGTCCTAATTTATCTGAAAACATGTCAGAGTTCAGTGGGAAAACTCATTTTAAGCTGGCGGCGGAGTGATTTTGACCTTGGTGATTTTACCAGAATTCTCTGAGAAATCTGACGATAGAGGGGGTTAGTGTCTTCAAGTTTATTTATTTCAAAAATTCGGTGGACAACCCATGGTAAGATTGTTATAGCAGGCTAGGCGAGTCTCTCCCGAACACTGTGGTATGTTGCACTAGGCTTGGATACTAATCGTTAATAAGATACAGGGTAAAATGTTATAATGGCCACCTATGGGAAACTCTACTGTGGTCTTCAACCGATTCATTTTGGGTGGGTAAAATAATTTTTTTTATTTTGTAATTACCAGACGGTCAATCCTCTTCATATTGCACTTGGATGATGATAACATCATAGTGATACATTGTAAAAAATATGAGCAAAATCAAATGTCTGGAACTTTTTCTATGCTGACCTGGTACTGCATCCTTAAGTTTATTATTAAGCATAATAGTATGGTCAACTGAGTCAAAGGCTTTCAAAAAATCGCTTTTATATAATGGACACCTTAATTTGCATATGTAATTTTTTCCCCAAGGTTGCCCTTTGTCCAACCCAGCTAAATCACTTCATAAAACCCTTATAATAATGATTCCGTAATAAAACATCGTGTTTTTACAGGTTCAAAGGTTCAGAAAATGACACATCGACTACCAGGTCCTTTTATACTGCAGCTATTTTTTTACATACTTCTTGCAAGTTTGGATTCATTTGAACGAAACACTGAAACACTAAATATTTTAGTTGATTTCTCACTAGTTATTTATTCGAAAAAAGCAAAAAATTACAACAATGTGTCTTTCTCAAGGTGCTTGCTCATATTTTTCCATATCAGGCACGATATTTTCAACCTTCCAGCATTCATAATGATGTTCCTCGTGGTCGCTAATTGTGAATGCAACCCATTTGGATTTCACAGCATTTAGCATACTCCCGTCCTTCAAAATCAACTCCCCATTGTCAAGGGACTTAATCGACTCAGAGATATCACCTAAAACCCAAAGTATTGAGTAATATCATCAAAAATACTTTAAATAGTCTCTATTTTGTATCCACTCTACGTTACGAGATAGATAAAATAGATGTAAATCTAGTTAACAAAACCTTAACTCTCCGACTAAAATCTTATAAACACGATTTGTAAGTTAATTACTTGTACTTACCCATTATTCCACCTATTTCACCAAGTTTAGTGACGTCAGATACTTCAACGACGATATATGTGCGTGCGCATTTAAGCTTCACATGAAATCGCTCCACTGCAATCACAACTGTTTTTTCGTCTTCACTTATTCCATGCGCTGCCTAAAAAAATGCCACATTTTAAGCGCATGTTATTCACTGGTTATAAGTTTGATTTACTAACTATGTCATCACCAGGGGGTTACTTCAGTGAATTACAATTTAATTGAAAATCATTATTTTTTGTAGAAAAACAAACATACGTCTTTCGAACTTAACTAAACGTTAATCTAGTCTAGTGAAGGAGCGCCTATGTATAATTCATTAAGACAGAGTCAAACTTAGTATTATGTAAAGATACTACATTTAAAATGTCAACTAAAATAACGATATGCCACTACACCGTTATATCAAAACATCCGTATTTGATATTAAAACTGCTTACGCTAATTTCGTCTCCTTTATTGGTGACTGTATACAGCAGACTACCATGTTCATCCTTCGATGCACGAATAATTTCAAAGGCCGTTTCAACGGTAACAGCTTCTATCAATTTAGAATCAGATCCATCTGCTGTTGTAGTCAGGGTTATATCCACGTCTATTGCTGTAATATCAGGTACAACATGAATGGCACATAGCTCACAGTGGCGATTCTATGGTGAACAGAGACAACTGTATGGTGCATATACAGGGCATGAAAAAGGCAAGAAACTTCTGGATCGCCCTGTATGTATATCATAATCAAAAAATGCAACAAACCTTTATCTCGGAAAAGCACAAAACTAGTGATGACTACATAGTTTTCGTTCAATGTACCATGAAGCTACGTGCCTCATCTTTGCAATAGTATGTCATTCATTCACATGTGGTCATGGTTGGGTGAAAATCATTCGCACAGTGGGTCAAAATATGCTCTGGACCAAGTTTCAGATATTGCAAAAATCAGAGCAAGGGTATGAATGGTATATAGTTCACAGTGACGATTCTATGATGAATAGAGACTACTGTACGAGTGGTATGGTATATACATATATATATGGTATATACTCGTATGGTACATATACAAGGCGTAAAAAACGCAAGAAACTTCTGAATCGCCCTGTATATATTGCATATTAAAAAACGCAACAAGTAGTTATCTCGTTAAACTAGTGATGACTACGTCAATGTCATCCAATGAACCATAAAGCCACGCCTCTCCTCTTTACAATGATATGTCATTCATTCACATGTGGTCGTGGTTGGACGAAAATCATTTATTTTGCACAGTGGGCCAAAGTGGGCTCTGAACCAAGTTTCAGATATTGCAAAATTAGTCAAGGGCTAAGTGCTAGTGGGAGTTCTCCTGATCTGAATTGTTGTGAATTTTACAGTTTGAGCTACCTCGGGGAGATGTACACCATTCCTCCACCAGATACTGCAAAGCTTCGAGAAAGAATCACCTGCTGCTGTTCTTCGCCTGATGTACCTGAACCAACAGATGGCTCAGAGCTGAGCCATGCATGGCGAGGAGAGATGAGCCAATCTATGTGCGCAAAGAAGGGGTGGCCATATGCTATGAAGGGGTATGGGGTGTAATCTTGCAAGAATATGAGTATGAACACTTAACTGTTTATGTCACACCTGCCACACCTTCAACAAATAGCACATATCTTATGCCCCGTGCACTGATTTTCGCAATGTTTAAAACTTGGTCCCGCCTGGTTTTGTCCCCTTTTGCGAAACCACATTACAGTATTCGGCCAACCATGACTCCATGTGAATGAATGACATACATGTACCATTGGAAAGAGAAGACACATGTCCTTAGCTTGTGGTACGTTGAATGAAATCAATGATGTTATAACTGGTCTTGTGCTTTCCCGATATATATAAGGTTTGTTGTGTTTTTGATAGGCACTGCACAAGGCAATCCAGAAGTAGCGAAAAATGTGTTGCCATTTAAATTCAGACTCGGTACAAGAGCTCCTGAGTTTATATCTCAAAAATAAAGCCTCTACTATAAAGAAACCCTTGCTTTGCACATTAAAATAAAAACGCAATCTGACTCCACAAGTCGTTAATACATACCAATGTTTGCTCCATTGAATAGGCCTACTTTGTAGTTAGTATTTGAATATTATATTAATACGAGATAATTTCAACAAATTTTATTTCAGATTTCATTTTTAGGTCAATCGTAGTTGCAAATCAAGTCATACTAACGGATGTATTTATCTTTAAATCTGTCGATGTTGCTTTACTCGCGAATTAAAACCAGGGTCATTGACAAACCTACCAGGTTGTTTTACAGAAAGAAGTCGATATGTGAACGATCCCTTCCCCGAAATATCGTAACATAGGGTTTCGCCAGGGCCATCTTCACCGCCTGCTACCTTTTGCCAGATATGGGGATCACCAAAAACTTAAATGAAAGAATATTACGTTTTTAATTGAGACTGAGCTTGTAAAAATGGTTTATTTATCTAATTAAGCATCTCATATACTCTCTTACAGGGTGGGTCAACGTGTTTTGATTGCCATAAGTTATTGTACGTTATTAATTGCAACACAGAAATATTGAAGCGTTTGGCTCACTCTGTATCTAAAATGTTTCAAAACGATCATAGTCAGTCATTATTTATTGGTTATATTATTTTGCTTTTCTGATACAGCTGTATTAAAATGATGATAGCTTTTGTGTTATATCATGTTACGTCTCGTAATATTATTGTTCTACGTCGGTTATATGACATACATTATGGATTGGCTATGGTCACTGCTACCCACCTAGTTACACAGACGTATCGTCAGTGTATCATGGCTGAACTACTCCCGGGATTTGAATTTGGTAAGATATTTTTATTTCTCGATTTACATCTACTTATAAGACACGATGTGGATTATAATTTGGCTCGAAGTTATGGGAGATAGTCTAGTTTGAGAATGTGTCGATGGTTTTAGGTTTGGTATGTTAACGAAGACGCATTTCACATATTTAGTCCCTCGCTTTTGTTACACTGACGATCGGCATTAATATTCCCAATATTACACTGATATTGGTCGTTCGGCAGTGTAAAAAAAGCGAGGGACTAAATTGTGTCTTCGTTAACATATAAAACCTAAAACCATCCACACATTCTCAAACTAGACTATCTTTCTTAACTTCGAGCCAAATCATTATCCTCAACGTGACTTATAAGTAGATGTAAATCGAGAAATAAAAAACCGAAACCTCGTCCCGGAAGTAGTTCCGCCATGATGCACTGACGATACGTCTGTGTAACTAGGTGGGTAGCAGTGATGGTTATTCGTAGATTGTTTGTTTATACTTACTAACGTCATCATTACTCAGTCCATCATTGGTGTTACCTAAAAATATGAAACAAACCGCAAAAAGTTTTTTAGGTCTAAATCATTTCATTATTATTTTATCTAAAGAATACATTTTGCGATAGTTAAAACGATTAAATCAATTCGTTCAGATCAAAAGGACCATTTACTATTCGCTAACAGGTATTTATGAAAAATTGTCAAACTGATATATCACCCTAACATAGCTAGACATATGAATTTAGAAATAAAATATTCATGAAGGCCAATCATGTTATACAGTTTTTCAAGGGATTTCTGAAGAAGATTCGATGTCTCTTCCCTATACTGGCATGTTAAATACAATTTTGAGGCGCCAATTTTTTGTCTCTCTGGACATCTCCAAAATCCCTAGTAATACATTTTCTCATTTAAGATGAATGACGTTTTGTGATATACCCTTGCACAGTACATGATGTGCACATTGGTCTAGACAGAACTTAGATTGAGCTACAGGGATTTGAGAATGCTTCCTTTACTTTTAAGTAATTTTTTCAATTTTAGAATACTGAATCTGAAAAAATGATTAAATACTGAACGTTGTATACACTTGATCTGTACGAGTCTCATGCAATATTAATAACAAACCTTTCAAATCATCATAAGTAGGTCCACAATTGATATTCGTATTCTCTTTTCTTTTGCAAATCTGTTTCCTCCTTATCGCAAGGCAATCCAATGGAGAGCGAATTGCCAATCTATTTTCCCGTTTTAGACAATAGAATGGGTAGAATATTTCGTTCTCTTTTAATTTGTTTGTATCTACTTGTTCGGTTTCCGAACAACCCATTGCAAACTGCAATGATATGAAGATATTCAAAATACAATACAGTAGTGAAACATATACACTGACATGCATAGGTTAGTTAACGGGAAGTTTTCATTGCATAGTATATCAAAGAATGCTAATAATGTTTAAATCTTATTTTTCAACATTTTGATACGCCAAAAATAATAGGCTTTGATAAGCAGCTCAAAGGGAAACTTCCGGTTGTCAAACTTATAGAGGGCGCTCTGGATTGTCATCCTCCGAACGCAGGTTCCAGACGTCATCCTTTAAGTTCTTTCCTTCTTCCATGAAAGAAGGAGGTACGAGTTCTGGAGGCCTGTGTTCGGAGGATGTGGATTGTAGTTTGCGAAACTATACCGTATACCTATATATCTAACCGAGCATTCGTTGCATCTTCCGTAGCTCTCCAAAGTATAAAAATAAATCTAATATACCACCGATACATCACCAACAGATCACCAATACACAATGAAAAGTGATTTACTCATTCCAAGTAATGTGTAACTTGTGTACGTATTAAAACTGACGACATTCAACTAGTACATCGCTGATGGGTAAAAGGGTAAAAGGCTAAAAGCCCGGTAAAAGTAGGGTTCTCAGGTTGAGTGGGGTGTAATTTGTGTATTAACTTGATTTTATAAAATGGTGTATGAGTTGAATATCAAAATTGATCCTTGATTTAGAATGAGAAACCCCACTCTCTGATTGATTAATGATTTTATTTCATTTGCATGGTAATGTTTTCAACTGATATATCGCCTGTTACGTCATTGGCAAAAAGTGGATTGTTAACAAATATCAACCCATTATAATTAGCAGGCTATTTTTCACTTGTGATGACGTCAGCTGTGGCAGTTATTTTGATTCCTTATACACAGTACAGCATTTAGTGATGCCTACCTTGTTTTTGGAGAAATTTGTTTTAGACTTTTTGCATGTATGACTCTCAAAAATGAAAGAATAAATATCGTTTAGCTTACAATAAGAACCCTCAGTCTTTAAAATATTAATACACATGTACATATATGGAGGATCTTAGACTCAGTAAAAAATACCAGAACTCTGTCTGAATCAGAGTTACATTACACATAATATTGTTACCTTCCTTCTTCTGGCATCAGGATTACCGGGATCGCATACAATGAAAACGCAGTCTTTCATGGAAAGCATCATTGCACCAACCCGAGAGAAGCCAGGAGTGTCGCAATCTTAACAAGAAATTAAATTTTAATTTAAAAGTAAATAATGGTGTGCGAATATGCTCTTGAAAACGCCATTATTTGTCAAAACATGGCCATATTGTTTAAAGGAATTATTGATTGTATCCTGATAATTTACCTTGCGAAACCTATAATCTGACTAACAGTTATAGTACATTTCAATAGGAAACCTGCAATGGGTAACTTCATTGTAAAGAATAACAGGGTCCCATTTGATGCAAGACAAGTTCATTTATCAGTTTATGAAACTCCTTTTTTACAGGGTGTACAAAAGCGGCCAGGATTTAAAACATATAGAAATCATAGTAAACCTTTATGAGAAAGAATATAATTATTTCTAACCGGGATTACGATCAGTTTATCTTTGAGCTGAGTCGTGAAAGTCTTATATTATTATTTAGAAAATATCAAGGTCACACACTATAATAACAGGTAAATCAAAGAAACTAATCCGTCAATTAGAAATCCTCTTCAAAGCTTTAGAAATGGCTAATTTAGAACACTGCAATAGTTCTAACAACGGACAACAACTATTTATGATAAGAAAATAATTTTACTTCATTCAATAAAACGCAAAAACTGAAATACTTACTGATGTCTTGCATCATTTCTGGACTTATATCCAAAACTTGCATAAGCACACATTCAAACAGACTTAGCAAGAAAACCAATTGAATCATTCCCGTCATCTTCAACTACTGATACTTTTACGTCTCAGCACATCCTCCAAATCTACACAACTTTTGCTAAGGCGTCAACAGTCAAGACTGAAATACGTATCAAATCAAATCATTTTTAATTAAAATCGATTTATTTGTATTTGATGGAACGTGTCAAATGAAATAAAGTAAAACAGTTTTTGTGAAGGAAATGCGTTCATTACAAGAGTCATCATTTATGCGTTTAATTGAATAATATCTTAGCAATCTATATGCAAATCTAAAGGTAAAAGTCATATTTACTTACTTTTAAATTAATTGGCTTTAAATTATATTCTTGAATTGGTTTGGACAATACTGTCTGTACTGCCTGCACTGTGTGCACTGACTACTGGCATACTAAAGCGGAATGCAATCTCTTTATCGGTACATGTTCGAAACAGTCGTTGGAAACAATTAGGGAAAGTAAATTTGTATTGAGAAAAGCAAAATATCGACCTGCAAGTCCGATTTAATTGCAATTTTCTGAAATTTTGGATAAACGTTTTTTATTTACCACTCCCCGAAGAATATCAAAAAATCATAATTTGATAATTTTTTCATATTTATTTACTTCCACGATTACAGTCAATTCATTCATACACCATCTGTGCTATTTCAAATTAGATGCAAATATTTAAATCAACTGAAACACTTTGAAGTAACATTTACATTTAATTATATTGTGATCGTATATACTAACTGATTACTAAAATTTTCATTTCACATAATTATAGTAAGACCTTACCACTTGTTACGAAAATAATAGTTAATGTATTATTATGATCAGATCTAAACAATACACGTTTTAACTTTACAGGCAATACTAATAATTGTATTATTTTGATCAGATCTACATAATGTACGTTTTAACTCTACACAGTCAAAACAATTTCTTAATAGCAATGTGCAGAAATGTACTGCCTTCAGACTTTATATTTATTTATGTCAATGATATCGCCGTTTACATTCCAGCAAGAAAAAGTGACATCATTGGCTTCTCCATTGCCGTGAACGAATCTTTTCTTCAGAGCAACATTAAGGGTCTTCCCATTCCGAAGTTTCAGCATGCCATCTGTTATTGAGACAACTGAATGCATTACATCACCTGAAGCAGAATAAACTCAATGTATGATTAGGCTGATTTTGTCTCGTAACAAGCAAAGTGACATCTTGTAACCATTACTCATTTGATACTATACTAATAATAATATATCTTGTATAATTATATTACATAAATCGAGTCAACTTACTATAAGGTATTCATTTACGAATGCCGAAATACCACTAAAGTCATTTTAATACCCATGTACATATTGCAAAGCAGTAATTTTAAACATTGAAAATTAATAAATACCCATTATTCCCCCAGCCACTCCATCGATATTATGTAGCTCTGTGATTTTCAACAGTATATGCGTTCGCTTCCCCACCAATTCTACTTTAGATTTTCCAATTTGGACAGTTATGACCTTCTCATCTTTACTTGTTAAGATTGACACCTGTAAGGATTATAGATTACATGCAGACATTTGTCACATTTTTTTTACCTGGATTAGAATTTGGGGATATTTCCTTATGCCTAGTTGTGTGACATTTTCCAAATGAAATAAATTCCTTACTTACGTATATATAGTTAATAAATATAATTATGATTTAACTGATTTTACTGGACGAAAGATAAAATTTTCCATCGTCTAATGTGACCGACATCCACAATTTGACCTTACATCAGTTTTAACAGACATTCTGTTAGATTTGTACACCAAGTGGCCGCGTTTCACACTGTCTAGACCAACGTCTATATCACTGGAGTTAGTCCGTATGGCTACAGATTTGACAAGATTCGCCTTTCCCCTTCCATAACTTCCTAACTTGATATCAAGCTCTGCCGCTGGTAATAAATATAAGATAAACCTATTATTGGTGAGCCAAAAAGGTGGCTTAAACAAATCTTAATAACTCAGTCATTCAGTATGGGTTCTAAGTCATACTAGTATTTTAGCAAGATTAAACCTTGTCCATTGTTCTTTCATTCTACTAAGTTTTGTTGGTCCATACCAAATGGTCTGTTTTATGGCCATTATACGAAACATGCTCCAAATGCCAAAATATACCAAAATCACCTAATATGAACCCCCAGAATTTTGTGCTTCGAAAGATAGTGTGTATGTCAACAACCCTAGAAGCATCAGTAATTGAAACAAGAGATTAGAAGGAGAATAAGCGCCATTTCACAAGATATCTGTGAATGTGTACAGTAGTCAGAAATATTCACTCCATACGTTCATGTTTGCCTCCAAAGACACAATCGGCATTTGTAAAATGGCTATAAAATCTTGACCATTTAAAATAGACCAATAAAACTTATTTGAATGAAAGAACATTGAACATGGTTCAATTGTGACAAATATGGATTAAACCTAAACTGAATGACTGGGTTATAAAAGATTTGTTTGGTTGCCTTTTCTCCTCATCGTGTATTAGATAATCATTAGAAATATATCTGTCTGCCTATTGGATTTAAATTATTTAAACATATACAAATTAATTGCAAAAAGCTACGAGACAATTGAAGTTGTAAACAAATTGAAAATATATCGTAATAAACAACAAAAATACGCTTAAAACTGTACACAAATCAAATCAGTATACAAAAGCTAGTAACAAAACAATAGTCCCATCTTCTCGATCCCAAGGCGTACATGTATATTATTTTCTTCACTTAACAAGCACGTCCGAAAGGGAGGGGCGATGGGGGCGACCGTCTCTTACATTTCTTTTAGATTTGTATTTAATGATGCAAATATAGGGTCAAAACTCCCTTGGGAAATCCTTTGGAAGAGCCTGTATAATACGTTATAATCTAATACTTACAAGAAGCAGATTCTGTTAACAGTCTATATGTTGCTAATGCCTCACCCTTGACATCATAACATATTGTGTGAGTACCACCAATGACCATTTGAGCTATATGAGGGTCACCAAAAACTGAAAAACATTTCCAACAGAGTTATCTATTTTATCACTTGCATGTCTAACGCTCTATTACACGAATCAATGAACTTTGGCTTCAGTTATGCTCTTCATAACATGACTTCAATTATTACATAGTTTCTTAATTATTTAAAAGCATTCAAGAGTTATATATGGGCAACGCTTCTTCAATACGTTGTGCTTATTTGAAAAAATCCCCATAACGATTTTTAAAGGGAACACTGAATTTCCCAATATGGTAACTAATTTTCTGGTTTATTCTTTCCCTTCCAAGGAAAGGAAATGGGAAACATTAAATTCCCGAATATGTCAACTTTCTGGCTTATTCTTTCACTCCAGGGAAAAGTAACGCAAGTGTAATAACAATCATTTACAATATCTAAATTTTATGGTCTTGAAACACCCAATGTTATTTGTTCTAATTTGAAGAAACAAGATTTCAAGATTTCAAATTCAAGAGAATAGCCTTCTCGACTCCTCACAAAATCCCGTGCTAAAGACTTTTACAAATGGTGTATAATTATGAATATATAAAATAGAATAATTAAAGGGCTTGACTTTAAAAGTAAAAATATACGTTTAAAATAGCGATTTTATAATACTGGTCAGCAACAAAATGGAACGCAGTAATCAATACGGTTATCTTTTACCTTGGTCCTGTTGTAATGGCGTATCCTTAACCTTAACGTCTTGTCTAGGAGCTGAAAACATATACGTTTGTAAATGAATTAAGAGTTTTATTTTAAACCTTTTTTTATGCAATGTGTATCGCAATACAACGCATGTCAAGAGCGGGGTTATTTCTACTGGCTCTTGTATATTTTTGAATAATATAGTTTCCCGGATTGTACCGACTAATTATAATTAATTGATATAGCAAAACGTTCTTTATTATTGGTTACCATTTATTTGAGTTGATGTACAAAAAATTACTCCATAAAGAGAATACTACGTATACCTGAATCATAAAGTGGGGATTGTGGCCTCCGTCCTAGAAAAAAAATTGCACATGTTTATCAAAAACAAATATACTTCAATTAAGATGCGGTACCATTGAATCTTACATGTATTTCTAATAATTTACATAATGTGGGGGTAATTAAAATTCTTAACATATGTTTACTCACGTCTTGGCGGTATAGCTGGTGTCTCTGAAAAAATACATAGTATATTAATTACTGTTATACAAATCGGAATAAACTAATTAATTTGTTTTTTATTATTGGTGTTCATCCCATCGATGTTTTTGACATTTTCATTTAAAATATATCGAAAAGTTCTCTTTTAAGTGAAGTCGAACGAGTGCAACAGGTTACCATTGGTCAATGCATTGTAATACAAACTCCTTATATGCAATGCGAAAAATGAAGAACAAAATGCAATGCAATGTTATCATTCGTAAAGGGTAATATTGACATAAACTATGCTACCTGATTCGGAGAGTGAAACTGGTGGTAACTTTCCTACAACATAAAAGTATTACATTATTATAAACAGCATTTTGATGATTGTTCCTGTTTCAGTTACTAATGGGATTTTGGACTTGAAACCTATGCTATAAGATAAATGTATTGTATTGTATTGCATTATATTGTATTGTATCGTATTCTATTGCTTTTTCCTTCATATTGAAATCTAATCAAAGTTTTTTTTATTTGTCTATAAGACCTCATCTCTTCTAATCAAAGTATTTAAAATTGTCTGTACAAGTCATCACATCTAATAAAAGTATTTCGAAAAAGAACGCGTCTGGTCTAATCAATGTATTTCGATTTGCCTATATAACTCGTCTCATATAAATAAAGTATTTTAGTTCGTTTATAGAACTTGTCATATCTTATCAAAGTTTTCAATTCATCTATAGAATTCGCCAAATCTCATCAAATTGCATTCTTACCAGTTATTAATGGCCCGTCGTCTTCTTAGTTTAGAGGAAATGTAGATGAAATGACAGCATACTTACCAGGAAAGTCAAATCCTGCAGGAACTGAAAATAAGATATGTTTATCCAATAAAGTTTTTATATATTTTTAACGACTTTATAATGGTGGCACACATCAATTAGTTAAAGTTAAATGTTTATTATAGTGTCACATTAGTGCCATGTGTTTTAGTGTGCAATAGAACGCAAACATATCATGGATATGAAACTTTAAATGCAATTCTGATTCAGCGAATTTACTAACCTATTACGTCGTCTTCCTGGTTTGGAGGAAGGGGCAGCAAATCTACAACAAAAACATGATAGATGGTACAATTTACCAATTTGTATTATCTGGATTTGACAAAAATAAGGCTGATTTTTAAAGAATTCCAAAGTAATGTAAATGTAAAAATATATGCACTTACTGTCAGATACACTCAAAAAGTTGAAATGAGGATATTTATACCTGCTTAGTTAATAATCATAAAATACATTAATAGACCCTGCCACCTTTCAGTGCATCAAAAAAGCAATGATATATTGGTTAGACTGATGATGTCATTGTAATATTTCAAACTGAGCAATAAGTTATAATTCCATTTATTTTGCTTGGACAGATTGCTACCTAAAATCTGTATGACACCATCCATCTACTAGACAATATTTCAGAGCTTCTTCGATCGAATTATCAAAAAGTAGACGACATTTGTCCAGAAAGATCTATAAAACATGAATAGATAATTAGCACTACTGCAAAGAGATAAGACCAAAATAACAACATTACAAAACAAAGTATAGAAATAGCTTGAGCCATATTTGTAGCTTATACTAAAGCATAGATAAAAACCGCAAATACATTTTCTAAACCACCCTTATACTTACCGTTTGGATCTTCCGGTGTATACAACCGATTCCCCAAGCCTGAAATTGAAAAGGGCAATTAAGAATAATTTCTTATTTAACATAAGTATAAGTGGATTATATCTTAGTTTGCATTCACGAATGCAACTTTCGGCTGTCGGCTACCGGATGAACCTACTATTTTATAGCAAACTCATTTAAATATGAATGAATTAGTGGCAAGTATTGGTCATATTTAAATGAGTTGCCAATAAAGAAGAACCTGTCGCGCAGGCTTTGGCTTAGTTGCATTCGCGAATATAAGGTTAGCGTTCGACTGTCGGGTCGGCTACAGGATTAACCTACTATTTTATAACGAACTCATTTAATATCAATGCCACTATTCCATTCATATTTAAATGAGTTAGTCATTAAATAATAAGTTAATCCGATGGCCGTTAGCCGCAAATAGACAAACCTCACTTACAAAAAGCCATATTCACATTCACACTCCACTGAAGATTGTTTGATTAGCCACGCTGACTGCAGAAGACTGTCCTTACCTTCTCAACACAAATTGTACATAGTTCACCACATACACACACCGTTTACACACGCACGCTAGACCAGATATATTTACCTTTTAGATCTTTGAAAGTGGGTCCACAGTTAATGCGCGTTGTCTCCCTAATCTTACAAATCTTGCTCCAATGTAGTGCAATACAGTCGCGGGGATACATCCTTCTTCGTGCACATGCGTAAGGGTAGAATATGTTGTTGGACTTTAAATTCACGTTGTTAACCTGTTCTGTCTCTCGGCATTCCATACTGTACTAAAATATCGAAGTTCAACATTAAATAATGTATATAACATGATTTCGCTTTTTGCATTGCTGGAAGAGTATCCAAAACACAAAAAATAGCCATAGTTCATACCTCGCTAACCAAAGGAATTGTTCTATTAAACGGGTGTGGTTGTATTGTCTGTGTGACGATATATGATCAACGTCTTTGGTCCAGAGTTATTTTCTTAATCAAATATTGTAATATCTTTTGTATAAATCAAATTTTCTTTATCTTGTATAGAGATGGCATTTACGATTCAATAGTCATTATAGTGCTTGTAGTTACCTTTTTCCTACGCGGATCTGGATTTAATGGATCACACACGACAAATACACAATCCTTATATTGTGCCATGGAAATTCCAACTCGAGTGAAACCCATTTTTCTGCAATCTGTAATAAGAAATGACATGTTTTATTTTGGCTCCTGATTATGCAAACATATTAAAGTCACGACTTAGGTCATTTTTAATATGTGCAGACCACACACAGGGTGTAATTTTGCTGATATCTTTGCAACAGATTTGTTTCAGATCATCTTGAGTCTGAGCAAAGGATTTTATAACTTAACTTTTTATCGTATAAATTTTATTTTTCTAAAGATCTCTGTATTGCATTATCCTACTGAGTCATTGCTGATCATAAGCTTTGAGTCGCAGAGTCTGGCATCACATCTAATGAAGCATGTAAGCGTCTCTTATGACATCACACAATTCATATGATTCAATTTCTTTAATAGTAAAAGCACTTAACAACATATTCAAGTACTGTGGCACTGTGTCACTGTGGCAACCATTACTTATTTAATATTTTTGTTACACTAACTATTTTTTGCTGGATTTATTAGACATTCGATGCTGTGCATTCTTTGAACATTTCGTTAGAATATTGAAAAATAAAGAAATTGGAGAGATGTCATTATTATCATTCCTCATATTTCCAATACAACATGGTATCCTCGAAGTTATGGGTTTCCTCACCTCCTGTGATACTCAGTGAAAAATGTAATTGTGGGATACAGAAAAATCCAAGTTCATTGAAATTGAATAACAATTAATGAACAGGTCAACACTCATTTGTTCTGTGCAAAAATAAGTGACTAGAACGGATATTTGTGAAACTATTGTAAAATGATTTTTTTAGAACGTTTAATTGTAATATTCGTAATAACAGTAAACTGTAATTGACTTGAAACTACTTACCTACATCTTGCAGCTGTATATTTGTAATACGTTCCATGGAGATAAAATTGAAAAGTTGAAAAACAAGAAGTTCCAATACAGATTTCATGTTTACCTACAGTATCAGTCTTTAGTATTAGAGTCTAATAATCGCCTGCGAGTTTGATACATGAAAAATATGGTCAATAAATAAATTAAATAAATTAAAGGTTACTTTAACCTCACTTATTATCAAAACATGCTTATGGTGATAGAATTCTAAAATGTGTTTATTAACCAAAGAATAACCTGAAAGAAACCAGACCATTAAAGTATCATCAATAATGTATTACTCAATAAAACTAATCATGGATATGATTGTGTTCAGATTGTTTCAAAAGAAAAAAATATAATAATATTACCACAGACGCTCTGACATTATTCACCTTGACATTATGGAAATTCAAAGATAATTTTAATTTCAGCCTTCAGCATGGCATAAACTTCAAGGACCAAAACACTTGGCAAAAATATGGACGTATAGACCTGCGCAATAAAGGACGACGTAATCAAACGCTTCATAAGTTATACTGGAACAGTAAATGTGCTATAAGTGAGTTGCAAAATATCTCTAGTACTAGAAGGAAAGTTATACATTTAAAGATTTGGAGGAATATAGGGGCATGAACATGAATCTCGTTCAACATTGTGTGATCAGTGATATGGGGCTCAACATGTTTTTGTTTTTGTATTGTTCACTTTTATATCAACCAATCATAATGTAACACATGAAAATAATAACATCAGAAATAACAAAATCTGAAATCAAACCAGCCACCATTTTTAACTTCACAATTTGAATTGCGAGTTTTGGTCTTACCTCACAAAAAATTTAAAACACACAGTAATTCTGTCAGAATATCAATGTATTGGCTCAAACCTCTTGGATTTCTACTTTGAATTTACAGCTAGTTATAATGCCAGATATTATCGCAATTCATTTCATATAATATTATTCTTATAACGATTTTAGAATATTGTTTAAAAGAAAACTTTTCATAACTTTAGTGACCACGCCAGGCAACGGAATATCAAGTTTGAATAACGGCTTCCAATCCCCCTTGATATCAAGAGAGAAATGAGCTTGCAAGGAACGTCCCTTAATCATTTACAAATCTATTTTGGGATGCCGTCTTTGAACAAATAATGACAATATTAGAGAATGATCAGGTTAAGAAAAAAAAACGCTTTTAAGAAAAATTGTAAGTTTAATCATGGGGAACTATATTTACCTACCTACATGTACTTTATTACCATGTAAAGAGAAAATATGTCGAAAGAACCTTTTAATCTAGGAACGTATCAGTACCCTGTTGTCAGAAAACGTTATACAACGATACACGATCAAAATGTGGAAATATCATCAGATTCATTCAGTTTTTTACTCGGTTTTACTCAGTTATTTCCTATGTTTCTGACAGATAGATAAAAAATGAAGTATTTTGGAATATCCTGAACAATGGCTTATGCTACGTATTGTATGTCAGTGGAAAACAGTTAGAAACTCTTGGAAACTGCTGAATAAAAAGGAATGTAATTTCAAAGGCAAATTGGTGATTGTGATTGTGACCGTGATTGTATGATGTGTATGTGTTTTGTCATCAAAGGTCAATAAATGAATTAGTGATAAAACTACAAAACAATTCATTTTATTTATTTTTAATCTTTATTTTAGTTAACATCTGAAGTCTACATGTGAAATTCATAGTGAGCCTCGAGTGTTTCTGATCACTTTGTAATCAACGATGCAGTTATTCGAAATATGACTCCCTCCAATTATGGTCTGTCCTTTTAAAGAAGATACTTGTACACCATTACATAGCCACCGTTTATCGTTATTAGTTATACAGAACATACAACAGCCCTATTTAAACCTCATAATCATCAATGTTAAATAGTTTTCTAGATCCTTTTATACGCCAGCAGGATAATACGACATCAGCAAGATCACTATTGCCATGGACCAATTGTCGCCATTTCTGAACGTCCAACGTCTTCCCATTGTTAAGACGCAATTGTCCATCAGCTATAGAAGCTACTGAATTCAATACATCACCTGAAGTAAATAAAAAATAAAAAAACTGTATTGTATGTATGTATAGTAAAAATGTAAATAAAGTTTTACATGGATTTCTAAAATACAAATTATTTTACCATAATACAGAGTGTCCAAAAAAACAGGACCGTAAGAAAGTTGAATAACTCGGTCAATTTTCACAACAAAATTCGCATTGAATGAACTAAATAATTCTGAAATTTCAAGGCAAAATATGCAAAATTGACTGAGTTATTCAACTTTCTTACAGTCCTGTTTTTGGACACCCTGTACTTATATTTCTACACATTGCAAGACATGCACTATGATTTCTGGCACAAAAAACACAGTACATCGATCCAACACCTAAGCACGATCCTGTGTTAACAAACAATAAATATTACCCTTGCGGAATGGTTATGAAGTTAAATATTATTAGAATTACCCATTATTCCACCAGCTACGCCATCAATGTAGTGTAGGTCAGTAATTGAAATCAGTATGTGTGTGTGCTTTCCTGCCAACTCTACCATAAACTTTCCTATGTGAATAACCAGCGCCCTTTTGTCTTCACTAAGTGTTATGGATACCTAGAAGTAAGATATAATTTACCTCTAAAATATTTTAAAATCCTAGCTTATGGAATTATAAATCCTACGCTATGGAATTATAAATAATTTCTTTACTTTACACTCTGGTGAATTTTTAAAAATCATGTACTACATTTTCCGCTACAGAACTTTTGTGAGATACATACTATTGTAGTACTTTTGTTGTTAATCGACCATTTTAAAACATGAATGAAAAATAAGTAAATATCAAAAAATACATTCAAGGGATGTAAGACCACTGCTGATCACAAGAAAGCAAACCCCGACATTTCAAGCAATAATTGTAGGTAAAAAGAGACTAGACTATGTAACACGGTAACTACTTTATAAATGAGTTTGTATCCAAGTGACAGTGCCAAAATATCATAATAATGGTGAATGCATATCAAAACTAGCAATGATACAACCATGCCATATTGAGAACAAATTTCAATTAATTAACCTACCATATACGATAATTATACTTAGGCATGTACATTGTATCCAATGGTGTTAAAACAAATGAATGTAAATAAAATGCCTACGTCAGTTTTTCCTGATTTCTGTTTAGTTGTATATAGCAGTTCGCCAGTTGATTTCTTATTCAGCTTTACAGATATGTCCATGCTCTCTGTACGTATATCAACAGATTCAACAAGCATGGCCTCTTTACCACGATTTGTTGCCATTGATATGTCAACCTCTGTGGCTGAAACACGAACGCGAAGATTCTTACAAATAGTCTATATGTCATAGACTCGTTCTAAATAAGATTAAAATAAACAATACGAGGGTTGTCCCAGAAGTAATGCACTATATGCTCTAACTTTCTTTAATATTCTTCAATTCAGCTGAAATTTTGTGTATATAACAATTGAAGTTTTATCTATTATATCCTGGAGTTTCAACATCCAACATTAATATTAAGTCTTAATATGGTTGCTATAACAACATTGGGGTAGGGGTGGGCCGGGCAGGTACCAATTTTTCTAATTATGAAAAGATCTAAAGTGTTATTTTATTAATGTAAATAGGGTATTTAACTGTTCATTTTTAAGCATCAATTGCTCTCATTTATTATGCAATATTGTATGCTCCCTAATAATTTGGCGTACTTTTTTCCCACCTTTTTACTTTTCAACCAATCAGATTTGTTGATTGGATAAACACATAATGGAGGAAGACTTGGTGAGAAATTATCCCATATTTTGTAATATTTCTAATTGATATAATAACCCTAGAGATTAATTACATTCATATTCATAAAGTAGATATTACAAGGTTCATGTACATATAAATTATTAGATGTTTCGATAGAAATATGAACTTGAAATTGTAATCTTAGAAACTTGTCAACTTTGTGAACAAAATCTATATTTTGTAAACAGACATTTACATTTTGGGTATTACTTTATTCAAGGCAACAATGTTATAGCAGATACATATCAATCAACCATCCAATCAACCACAGCTGTATACAGTTAGCCCATAGGGTAAGCATATATATTTTAGAGAATATGCATTTCACTTTGAATATTGCATTTATATTGCATTTCTCATTTTCTCATATAAGATAGCGTAATTGCTTCTATATTAGAGATAGTTGTATTCACAGGATACATTTGGTCATTTATGTAATAATGGTATATATTTCTAGCTTATTCTGCATAATGTAGATGGTCATTGAAATGCACATTGTTGTTTGAAATGCGCATATGCACAATGTTCAATGCCAAATATCTAAGCTATTTATAACCACTTTTATGTAATTGTGTGTTGATTCAGGGATGATATGTTACGTATTCTATTTCTGCATTGGTAATTTTATCCATACCCAAAATGTTGTAATTTGTACTTTTACAGGCTGTCTGTCTATGTCTGTCTGTGTGTCTATGTCTGGCTGATTACAATAAACCATTTTAAATCTAAGATGATCTTATGTGACGCATATCGCATATCATACTAGCCACTTAAAGCCACCACTACAAATGGTACTGCGGGTATACAAATGGTACTGCGGGTATACAAGAAGTGTTACTGCTACACGGGTAAACAAACTGTACTGCAAGGAATCTACAGGAATCAAGTTATACAATTATAGGATCTACATGGTTATACAATCGTAAGGTCTACAGTATATAATCTACAACAGGCAGAAGCAGAAGTGATACTCAAAACAACCTAATTTTGAAATCTCTATTTCATATCTCTTATATTGGTGGAAAAGTTAGAATCATGAACTTTAGATTTTTCAATCAAAACAAAGTCAGGTTATATATTGGCAATTGTCCAAGGTCAAGCTATTCAGTTAACCATGATAAAAAACTCAACCACCTGTAGCTTTAAAACACTGCACTGATGAATGGCTTATAAAAAGCTTACTGTGTTGAAACAATAAACTTTGGAAAAAGGTAGCATTTATTGAACACCAACTGGTAATACTTTGCCAATATTTGTATTAGAACTCTTGTTGTTATATGCTTGAGTGATTACTGACATTGAGTGTTTACACTTTCGTGGTGACCTATAATTATATTAGTGTGCATGAACATTGCCACATTGTGTACACAATACTCCCACATACTAGGGTGACATCTATCTTTATCAGATAATATTTATGTGGTACCATCTACCCATGTCAATTATAAGTGTGACATCTATAATTACAATAGCATCCTATGGTTGATCATTGACTTAGGTGTATACAATATACATGCCATCTATTGGTATACAGGGTTATATAAGGATGATATCTATCCATGTAAACTATTTGGGTGACATCTATTGATGCAACATATATAATTATCTGCCATCTATTGGTTTGCAGATATAGCATACTATATATTGCCAAGCTTTATTGTGTTGGTATACATTACTGACATCTATTGGTAAATAATTATTACATTTTGCCAATATATTTAATATCATATCACACTTAGTGATTTTAACTCTACCAATATTTACATCATATCACACTTTGTGATTTTAATTCTGCGGCATATATTTTTAATTTCGTGTTTGATATTTTATCGCGATTTTTTCCGGAGGCTATTCAAATCACAATGCCGCCCAAAAAAGCTAGTCCAAAGGAGGAAGAAGAGGACTTGGAACAAGAAAAATATTATGACCCGACTGAATTTGAAAACATGAAGGAGGAATTACTTAGGTTGAGGAAATTGAGTCAAAGATTCAGCCAATTTATGGAAATTGAAAAGAAGCCAACACAACCAGTACAAAAAATAAAATTTCCTAAAAGGCCAAAATTAGGAAACTTCTCAGGAAAACCAGAAACCACTGATATTTGGGACTGGGTTGAAGACGCTGAATTGGCAATCAAGAAACTTGATGATGATGAGGAAAAGGTTGACTTTCTACTTGAACATCTAGAAGCACCAGCTAGACGTGAAGTACACTATATTGAACCTTTGACAACTAGGAACATATTCAGAACACTGAAGGAAGTCTATGGAAGAGAATTTTCCGCAAGCCAAACATTTAGAAAATTCTACACTACTGCTCAAAAGAAAGATCAATCAGTGAAAAGTTTTACACAGGAACTTCTTAGATTGATGGACATAATAAAACAACATAGAACAGTTCCAAATGAAAATGAACTCTTGTGTCATCAACTTACAGAAAATCTTAATGATCCACACTTGAGATGGGAACTAAAGAAGTATGAGGATGACCACCCTAATCCATCGTTTCAGAAATTACGCCACATTGCTTTAGAGTACGAAGATAATGAAAACAGAAAAAATGAAGAATCTGAACATCACTCACGAAAAGAAAAGTCCTACAGTGTCCAAGAAAAGGATCCAGTATTCACACAGATAACCTCACAATTAGATGAATTCAAGTCTGCAATCACATCCATGCAAGATAATATGAAAACAATGACTGAGAAGATTAATCGATTGGAGAAAGGACAACAAATGATAATGGAGCAGAACGCCAACAATCAATTCCAGTATGAAAACAGAAACGACTATTTGTATCCACAGAGAAGTCATAGAGGACAATTTAATGGAAGAAGACCACAAAGAGGACAATTTAGAAGCAGACAAACGACACAGTCAAATCAACGACAATTTAACTTAAATGCCCATGATCTGGGAAACGCCAGAGTCCCTTCATGAATAACGGCCAAGATGGGACTGATATCAGTAAAGACCGTTCATCTTATCTGTCCAAAACAGTCAAGAATACCCCTTCAACACTTATCACAATTGGAGATGTCACAACAACTGGAATTTATGACACTGGCTCAAGTGTTACCTTAATGTCACACGATTTTTTCAAACAAAATTTTGAACATGAATCAAATCTCTACAAGGACAAATGGATTAAAATAACAAGTGCTAATGGTTCGGGAATCCCCTACATCGGTTCTTTAATCACAACTGTAACCGTGGACAATGTACAACTTGCACTGTATAAAATAACGAATATTGCTTGCAAATAACGAGCAATTCTGGTGTTTATTTGCTTCGAATTGCATGTTATAACCAGTAATCAACACTGACAGAACGCAGACAATAACTGCATATATGGAACACAAATATATGCAGCTGCATATAACAAACATCCACAGAGAATACTGACTGCATATACGGGTACTGTCACTGAGTATATTTGCTTATATTCAGACATACTTTGCATATTTGCTGTTTACTTGTGATTATATGCAGTGCAGACACTGCATATACCTGCTTATTTGGGATAGACAAATATAAGCAGTTGAGTATACTTGATATGTATAGAAATTAACACTGGTTATATTTGCATATGATCTGCATATATGCCATTTTTCATGAGTATTCCTGCATATTTTGAGATAAGTGATGTGCAGCTTGTGATTATATTGAGACATGCACGAGAATATAAACTAACTACATTAGCATATATGGAGTCAAGATCGGTATATTTGACATTCCTTTATGATCATATGCAGCACAAGATATGCATATATTTGCTTATTTAGGAGGACTGGTAGACGCGGTTTTGTGATTGGGCATCGACCCAGACATAAACGGGAGTATTAAAACTACATATACATGTAAACACAAGTTAGAAAAATTGCACATAAACAGCTTTTACGTTTTATATAATTTATTTTAAATTTCTTTAGATGTGTATGTACAGAGTAGACCAATGAAACGACCTCTACAAGTAATAACTTCAAATAGATAAACTAAATTGTACAGTATACATCGGGAAACGGAAATCATGATGTTCAATACTAAAAAAATATGATGAATCATTTTGATGGATATTAGTAGGATTATTATGTTTTGGCCAAACCCGTATACTGCTAAATAAATATATTTACATTGCATTGTACATGATGTAACATTATATTTCTATCTTTAAAATGGTGGGAACTTATGCTCCAAATCAATGTACCCATGTTGCTCGATCTTTAAAACTGTATTCTTGTAGTTAGATATGGCCTGTTTTCTGGTAGCAAATTCTCGTACGATACTGAATTCTGGTTTCTCCATTCAAACTCCTTTCTTGTACACGTTTCTCAATATATATGTAAATTCAGCTATCACACGATCTCTATTTGCGAGAAATTTGTCACTGCACACAACTACACTGCTCTGGAGACACTGCTCTGAAAATACATAGACACTGCTGTGTATTTTAATCAATGATACAAATACACCAGTTTATAGCATACTGTTCAGTTATACAGTATAATGG